CTTCAGAAGCAACCAGAAATGCTGTCCATATTGCTTCTAGTTCTGCTTAAGTCAATAAAGGCCAATCATTGGAGACACAGCTGAATCTTGCTTTCTCTTCTTCTTTTATCTCTCCATGCTTTATTATTGCTGTCTACTCTGCTTCCATTTTGACTTTTTGTGCCGTTTTTTTTCTTTGTATAGTGATTCATCTATATAGAAGTCTATTTTCTCGATATTCTGTAATTCTTATGTGGCTGCTAGAAGTTTTTCTTGTACTTCTTCTTCTTCTATTTAATCTCTGATTATTTTTTCTGTTAGTGTTTCTACAATGATTTTGTCTTCTATCTTCTGGCCTTAATAGTCTTCTGTCTCTTTTTTTCTTGTTCTTTTCTTTTAGCTTAGCATTTCTAGCTTAAGTTCAATCTTGTATATTTCACCATCATCTGTTACTTTCTTGATCCAGTCTTTTTTCAGTGCTCTTCTGCTACTTTAGAATCTTTTTGTAAATATGCATATTCTCTTTTGCACTTTGTTTTTGCTTTTGCTATATTCTTTGCACTATTATATATTATATTTGTCATTTCTATTAGCTTCTGCTTTTACCCAGTATTCTATATCATATATTTTCTTTTCTTTGCCATATTTATCAATTACTCTTCCAAAACCTATCTTGTTTTTATCTTCTTCTATAAGGATCCATTCTTTGCATTTTCTATTTATCTTTATTTCTTCTAGAGTTGCTCTTATGTTTAGACTATTATACTAGAATTAATTAAAAGAATATGTTGTGATTTTGCATTAGTTAATAATTTTTTTGATTAAGTTGACAAGTTGAAGTGGAGTACAAATACTATTTTATAGGATATATATATAATTGATAAACTTACCTAGCATTAAATATTCTATCTAGAATATAATATACCAACTTGGTCTCTTTGGAGCCAAAGTTGATATATTAAATTCAAATCTGGTGTATTGAATTTAAATCTGAAATAATCATACTATGATTTGTACAGCTGTAGAATTATAGTATAGTATAATCTTATTACCTGCCAAATAAAGTAGTTACTAGATGTTATATATTTATATAGTCTAATCTGAATCTAAATTGCTATTGATAAATGAATATAGTGTATATTTTAAAATATAATGAAGAATGAAATTGATCTTTACTATGCCAATAAAATGACAACTCACGTAAATTTTTGTCAGTTAGAAGGTTAAGAAGACTGAATTTACAATTCTTTTATTATAGTTCTTTTGTCTTTCACTATGTTCTTTGACAATTATCAATTATTAATTAATAAAACTAGCAAAAAATCTAAAGAAAAAAGTATATAATTCTAAAGAAACAAAAAACAAAAGTATAATTAAGACCAAAACATTCAAAAATTACAAAAAAATATTTTTTTTGCATTAACTTAAAATAGTATATATATTATATCTCAATGGCAAGCTTATATACCCTTAAACCATATTAGCATCTGAATCATATCTGAAATAAATCATATTAGTATTGAAACATTGAAGTATTTAAATAATTATATATAAAAATGATTCCTTTTACATATATACATATATACAGAATTAGAAAAGAATAATACACATTGATCTAATTATATAATAGCAAACAGTATCATACAAACATAAGTACAACAGAATCATTTGAATTTTTTTAAAAAAAAATATAAATAAATAAAAAATAAAAAACATTAATTAAAAAAAATGTGTATACAGTTGGACCTCCCTAAATGCAACCTCCCTAAATACATATATATAAAAAACCTCTCTAAATACATGCCTTTTCTTGGACTCAACTAATATAATACTTATAAATTTTTACTTCTCTAAATGCATAATTTCTTTAAATACATATTTTCTCAATTTTTTACTATGGTCTTGACGTTATACATTTAGAGAAGGCTAACTGTATACCAGTATATATTGAAATAAAAAAATATCTATATTTCACCTCAAATTAAATCTAAAATAGCATTTTTTTACAGAAACTAGCTAAAAATTTTCTATAGAGTTAAAATGATCTTAAAGATATTAATTCAATAAACTTATGCTTATAAGATTAACTTATTTTTTGATAATTTTATTATAATCTTATTTTTTACTAATTTTAAAAAGCAAGTAAAATAAAAAAATATTATTTTTCTAATATAATTTTATATATTAAACAAGTTTACTTAAAGTATCAAGATACTATATATTGGTAAAATTTTGAGATATAATAACTTTTTTATAATTTTACTAATAAAATAAGAAAAAATACTAAACTACTCAAAATTTTACTAATTAATAATATTTAGTATTATAAGTGAACTTATTTAGTATCTAAAAATACATTATAATAGTATATTTAATTTTATCTTTTTTTTTATTTTTGAAGAGAAGATGCTTAATTTTGGAAATTTTGTTTAAAATTTACAAAATTAAGCATCTTTTCTCCAAAAACAAAGAAAAATAAAATTAAATATACTTTTATAATATATTTCTATATATTAAACAAGTTCATTTATTATATAAAAGTACTATTTATTAGTAAAATTTTAAGATATAATAATATTTGTATAATTTTACTAATAAAATAAAACCAAATGCTAAATTACTCAAAATTTTATTAATTAATAGTGCTTTTGCATAATAAGTGAACTTGTTTGATATCTAAAAATACATTATAACAGTATATTTAATTTTATCTTTCTTTATTTTTTAAAAAAAGATACTTAATTTTGTAAATTTTAATCAAAATTTCTAAAATTAAGAATCTTCTCTTTAAAAATAAAAAAAGATAAAATTAAATATATCATTATGATGTATTTTTAGATGCTAAAAAAGTTTACTTATAATATTAAAGCATTATTTAATTAGTAAAATTTTGAGTAATTTAGTATTTTTTCTTATTTTATTAGTAAAATTATAAAAAAGTTATTATATCTCAAAATTTTACTAATATATAGTACCTTAGTACTCTAATTAAACTTGTTTAATACATAAAATTATATTAGAAAAGTAATAATATTTTTTTATTTTATTTGCTTTTTAAAATTAGTGAAAAATAAGATTATAATAAAACAGTTATACTAAAGCATACCAGTAGTGTTCAACATCAGTATTTTGTGTAATATAAAAATTATCATCAAAATAAATAAACAAACAATTAAAAAAGATTAAATTTAATTAATATTAGGGTTAGAGTTAAAGCTTAAGATAGGGCAAAAGCATAGTTTATACCAAAATTTTGCAAGAAATTTTTTTTATTAGAATACAAAAAGTAGTTTCATAAGTAAAATTTTGAGATATTAAAGATTTTTTAAATAAACAACAAAGTTTATTTTAATTTTATGCTACATCTGATCTTGACATTACACTGCAGATCAATAATTTTATTGGTTAAAATTAATGTGGTGTTGAACACCACTGGTGTATTTTAGTAAAACCGATAATAAAATTATCAAAAAATAAGCTTAAAATAATTATAAAATTTGTATATCTTTTTTTTATAATAAAATAGTTTTATTTATTTTTTTTATTTATTTTTTTTATTTATTTTTTTTATTTATTTTTTTTATTTATTTTTTTTATTTATTTTTTTATTTTATTTTTTTATTTTATTTTTTTTTTATTTTTTTTTTTTTTTTATTTTTTTTTTTTTTTTTTTTTTTTTTTTTTTTTTTTTTTTTTTTGTTTTTTTTTTTTTTTTTTTTTTTTTTTTTTGAAGTCTGTTTGGTTATTCGTGTATTTTTAAAGTCTATAAACAATTTTTATAGCATCCACTCTCACTTATACAACTATTATTACGACCTCATAACATTCGTTATTCACAATTTCCACTCTTGTTTCCTTTACTGGTTGTCTAACCGTTACGAAACTAAAAAATAAAATTTCCTAACAATACTAGTCTTGAATACTAGTATTAGTGATTAAACTATATTTAACGTTTTAAACTTGTGAATTCCGGAACTTTGCTCCGAATATCACCATACACTTTGTAATTACTGTTGTCTTACGGATTTTACAATGTCAAGGAATACAAACGTATTAAACACGTACAATTTTGTAAGTACCTCAAATGAACATAGACCGTTTGATAGGTATTTACGTTTATCTATTCTTCGCGATTCTATTTCATTTCGGAAAAATATATTATAATCATTAATTTTTTATATGCTGTGAAACGCGTTTTCTTTATCCTTTATATAATTAGCACACAATATCGTCTCATTATACGGCAACAGCCAAAACAGGCTCGATTATGTAGTCTAAAAGAACGAGGTAAGAAATCCCACGGTGTTTCATTATTAAATCATTCCTGGAACGAGTTATCTAATTTAATTTATTAATTCCAGATCGAAGACCTGTTGATCCCCCTCCAATTATTCAGCTCAAAGTGGATAGTTGTGGCGATGAAGCACAGTATGTTTTAAATAACTATTAATTTATTCATTATCTTTTCATTATCTTTTCATTATTCGTAAGTTTGTATTCATTTTTTTTTTATTTTTTTTTATTTGCTTTTTTTTTAAAGGAATTACCTTCAGAGTCCATATTATTTTATGTGTGCAAATCTTGTTCATCCTTCTAATAATAGTGAACATTTCGCAATTTCATCTAAATATCTTGCCGGTACTATAGTTTCTTCTCTTCACAAACTCAAAGACATTGATAATTCCGGTACGTTTATTGTCCTTGATCTTTTGTTTATCTATCCCTTGACTAATGACCCTGTATTAAACTAACTTTCTCATTCTATCAGATGGCGGCTTTTTTGTATTTGGTGACATATCCGTGCGAATTGAGGGTCGTTATCGCTTACGATTTAGTTTATTCGAAATTATAAAGTATGTTATATTTCATGTTCATTTTATGCGAATTCTATATTGCATAAATCAATATTATTACAATTTGCTTAATTTTAATGATCTACTTTGAATAGGAACGAGGTTGTTCATATACAATCGATCTTGTCTGATATATTTGATGTGTATTCACCAAAGACGTTCCCTGGAATGTCTGAATCTACTTTTTTATCAAGATCTTTTTCGGATCAAGGTGTTAGAATAAGAATACGCAAGGAACACCGGATTCAAATGTATTTTATTTCAAAATTTAATTTTGGGTTTTAAACCCAAAATAATTTCATTCTTACCATGATCATTTGCCAAATTTAGTGCTTTTTTCACTTATTCATTATTCATTATTCATTATTCATTATTCATTATAGGAAACAACCGCTACATAATAGACATTCGGACATTGCAGAAGGTGATGACGATAATGGTATCGGTGATGGTTTAGACGCGATCGAGATTTCAAGAAAGAGAAGCATAAATTTGCCTTCTGCGACATCTCCGTTGGATATGCAACATGCAGATACTTCGTGCTATTTGCAACATTCTCCAATGGTTGATAGAAATGTTGATTATTCCTCTTCTTACTCTCTGCCAAATAGCAACCATCATCACGAACCTAGTGCCCATCATGTTCAACCTTTACATCGAGATTACAGGTGCAATTGTATTTCATGCGGTCATTATGAATTTAAATGCGAATCTTCTCAGGAAGATCCTATTACTGCTCGTTTAAATTCCCTTGGTATTTCTCAAGATAATAATGACTATCCGAAACGCCGAAAGTTGTCAATTCCAGAAAAGACGTCTTATGATTATAGGACAACATTGCCACCATTGATGGAACACTCTAACTCTCTTTCGCATACACATGATCAGTCTGTTTGTACGAATGCTACATTCGATTATTCATCACAATGTACCGTTTCAAATGGTCACACGAATCACACGAATGCACCTATATCTTCTCAGTTATCTCCCGTTTATCCATCTTACCATCCCAATTCTCATTCTCCCCTTTCAAAAATACCACCAACAAGATCCCGCACATTACCACCATCATATATCAGCTCGCAACAACAACATCACCAATTACCAACTCCACGAACATCAATCGATGCACAATTAACGCAATATCCTAGAACTTCCTTTGATAGTTACAATGACAATTTTAGCAGTAACACTAGTGACAATAATAATAGTAACATTACGATGCCACAATTTACTCCACATTTCACTTCAAGTCCGCGCGCTGCCCATAGTCAATTACCGAGTTCGACACACAGCCCTGCTTTTAGTGTTCGACCTGCAACACGATCGTCTTCAATGCCTATATCGTCAAACACTTCCCAATTTTTGTCGTCAACCCAGGAACAATCAAAAGTCACTAGATTGCCACCTATTAGTGTTTTAACAGATAATCTTGATTTTCATAAAAAAAAGGATTTATCAATAACCAA